TTGTCAAACAAATGAACTGGCTCGCTTGTTTCGTTTCAGCGGATGTTGGTGGCTACATTGGGTTGTTCCTGGGCTGCAGTGTGCTGACTGTGTTTGAATTCATCGATTTTGTTATCGTACACTGCTTTAAGTCTCGTCAAAGCAGTAAGAGGTTCACAATGAATAAAACGACAGATTCAAGAGAAGATGACAGATCTTATGATGCAGAGAAAGAAATCGGTCTCTAAAAAAAACTGATTACAATAACGATTCAAACATTTTCAAGATTTTAAAAGGTCTTTGTTGGTTCTGGAGAACCAAAGCGAGGCTTTGGCTTGGTCATAACATCGATGTACTGTTCACAATGGATCAAGCAAATTGCTGAGCAAGCAAAAAATCAAAGGGAAAAGTTGTATTCTACTTTTTCATGCCTATTTAGGAATTATCGTCAAAAAAGTCAAAAGAACTTTTCATAAAATACCAAAAGATTTAAATCATTATGAAAACTGTGGATGCAGTGCCTAAACAGCATTCGACAGAAATAGACTCTAACTGAAAACATGCATGTTGAGTTTGTAGTAAACACTTTACAGTCAAAATGTGATTAACAAAACGTAACTTTATTGCTTGCACAGCAAGTTTCTATATCTATTGTGAACACGAGAAAAAAATATAAAAAATATAGCATACAGATTTTTATTTATGCCATTTACTCTATGAAAGTCTCCTTATATATCTAATATATATTCTTATTTGATATTAGATATTATTATTAGACATTATTACTATTATTATTATTATTATTATTATTAGATATTTGTTTTACATATTTTACAGGCAAGATCATACCAGAATAGTGGCTTTGAACTGACGATCTCGGGTTCGATTCACGACACGAGCAGCTTCTAAACATTTTTTTCTTTCTCTCTTAACTTTAAGATACACTCGTTCTTTTTTTCTTTCTAAATTAAATGCAAAGCAAACTTTCATCTTATAAATTCTCTGAGGATAATGAGAATGCAATCTGAATGCCAAATTTTTCGCTGCAATGATAAAAATACGCAGTCAAAGACTGCATGTGGCTAGTGCCTTTTAGTGGATTTTTTTTAATTAAATGCAGTTTTTGTAGCGAAAATTGTTTGGTTTTGTCATTACTGAAGCCTTGTCATTGTGGCCTTGTCATTGTGTCTCAATATATATATATATTTTTTTCTTAACAGTTTCGCGAATCCTAAAAAAAAAACACTTTCTGTAAATTGTGCATATAATTTTCAGCTCTTTTGAGCGTTTTAGCTACCTTTTAGAGCCATTTAAAAAGAGAAAACTGTTTGCCGCCGTCCCTCCACCATTTTGTTCCAACTCACTTACGAGCTTATCCCGAGAAAAACAGAATGGGATACGAGATCATATTCCCAAATTACACTCACTCAAGGGCGATGACATTATGGCTAGCGCCTCTTAGGCACTAGCCACAAAAATATTCGAATAAAGTTATGTGAAAAGATCATACGCAAAATTTATCAAATCAGTCGCGGTGCTGGTAAAAATATATATTTCACGGCAAAACTGGATACGGTAAGTTCCACAAAGTGGTACTGTTAGTTTGTGGAATGCATCCATTCCATTATCGATCGCTATAGCATCTCACTTTGACGATGGCAGGAGACGATGTCATGTAAAAATTGATGTGTCGTAATATTTTTCTTTTTTTATATAGTTCAATAAATCCTACCCTTCCTACCCTTTTTGCATTTCTGGTCGCGTCAACACAGCAGGCGCAAAAGGAAGAACAACAACTGATTACAGCAGAGTAAATTGCTCATCTGAAAACTGTTTACACAATTCATGGACACATGCCTATA